AAACAACGCCTCAGAAATTTTAGATGCACTGAAATTTGCTAATACTTTCACAAAAATCGCAGCTTTTTTAGTTTTCGCTATTAATTTTTTTATAAGTCATATATTTTAAAATTTAACGTAATGAAACCACGTTTCCTGTCGAAAAGTTTATTATTGAGAAAATTTACTATTTTACAGTTTATTTTATCCTCCCATTCGGCTTTGTTTACTTTTACTTAAGAAATTTCATCGCCACCGGGAATTCGGAATCTTGTATTATATCATTCTTGCTACCTTATAGTGTTTAGAGTTGGACAATTTTTGCTCTTAAAATTAAGAAAATTATGTCGAGCAAAAATAAAACTAGGTACTCAAAAAACGCGATTATGTGGTAGATTTCAGACCTTGTGTGGTAGATGTGGTAGAAGCTCAAAAAAGTGGCAGATCTTGATAATCATAGGTATGAGCAATGATGTAAGTATGAGCACTAACGAAGATAACTTAAGCTATCTCTGAAACTAACATGCCAGTATAACAAAGGGTTCAATGTATGTCATTTTAATTCGCGAAGTCTAACAGTAAGCAAACTTGAATATTTAAATTACATTTTTGATGTGGTTTGTATAACAGAGACTTGGTTCAAACCTTGCATTGAAAATTCTGCATACGCTTTGTGCGATTTTTCAATTATAAGAAACGACAGATCCACTGTTAACAGAGGTGGCGGCATTGCGGTTTATTTTAATGCCAAGCTCCCTGTCTTGATACTGTTCAAAGTCTGTTTGTTGAGTTTAGTGATAGTGTTCAAAAGTGTCTAAAATGTAAATGTAAATGTAATGACTTGACGACACTTTTCACTAAAATATCTGAGTTATCTGTAAGCTATATGCATGTCCTCATCTGTAGCGATTTTAATGTTGACATTTTAACAAATAACGCCAAGTGTGCATTTACTGAGCAGCTTTAATGCTAGTGGCATTACTATTGCCAACAAATATGCAACACGCTTTGCACCGGAGTGTAAGCCAAGCATGTTGGACCTTTTTGCCGTAAGTGTAATTGGTAATGTAAACCATATTGACCAATTTCCCTTAGCTGGTGTATCTGACCATGAATTGATGTTTTTATGTTATAATATAGAATTTTGCAAAGTAAAACCAATTACCCACTTAACGTTTAGGGATTACAAAAACGTAAACATGACTGAGTTATTTGAAGAAAGTGCTTCACTGGATTGGAACCCCTGTTGGTTCTTCTCAGACGTTGATAATAAACTAAACCATTTCAACACGCTGGTAAAATATTTGTTTAAAAAATATGTGCCTATTAGAAGTATTAAAATTTTTCACAAACGAAAGCCGTGGTTCACTAACTCCAATATAAGCCTTATAAAAAAGCGAAATACGGCCTACAAATACTGGAAACGGAATCCTACTGATGATCGTTGGAACCAATATAAAAATTTAAGAAATGAAATAACTGCAGGCCTACGACAGGCAAAAAAGGCCTATCTCGAAACTAAATTTAATGCTAACGTTCCCTCCAAGGTTATGTGGAAAAATATAAATTCAATGGGAGTCTGCGCTAAGGATAAGAAAACCTGCACCGTTGATGCCAATGTGATGAACTCATATTTTATAGGTGCAAATAAGCAAACAAATATTTCGCCATATAAGATAAATCAAACTTTAGCCTTTAAATCTGCCTATGAACTCACGTTCGATGTAGCCACTGAACATGAAATTGTAAAGTGTGTCTATGCCATAAAATCGAATACCGTTGGTGTGGATGGTATTAGCTTGCGTTTTTTAAAACTGATTCTTCCTCACGCGCTTCCCTCACTTACTCACATAATAAATTTTGACATAACCTCGTCTACCTTCCCAAACCAATGGAAAGTGGCAAATGTTGTCCCAGTTCCCAAAAGTAACCTTCATGACTCCGCCTCTAACTACAGGCCTATCAGTGTTTTACCGGCACTATCAAAAGTATTTGAAAAGTTTATTTCCAATCAAATAGTGTTTCATCTGAATGAAAACAACCTCTTGAGTGAGTTTCAGTCTTGATTTAGACCTGACCACAGCTGCTCAACAGCCATAGTAAAGGTTATGGACGACTTTCGCCCTGCCTTTGATAGTAAACTACTCACCATATTAGTACTTCTAGACTTTTCCAAAGCTTTCGATACAGTAAACCATGATATTCTGCTCTTGAAACTAAAACACTACTTCGGTTTTCATGCAACATCAATTAAATTGATGAAAAGCTACCTTTCGAATAGGCTGCAACAAGTCCAATGAGGAGATATCTTTTCGCAACGCAGTGCAATCTTCTCTGGAGTGCCGCAGGGATCAATTCTGGGTCCGATACTATTTGCTATTTTTGTAAATGATATTGTTCATTGCTGCCAAAATGCCTCTATACACCTGTATGCTGACGATACTCAGATATACCACTCACGTCCTATTGGTCTAGGTGAAGACGTAGTGTTTAGATTAAATGATGACCTATTAAGAATATCATTCTAGGCCAAAACGAATGGCCTTTCTTTAAACGCAGCTAAAACTCAGGCACTACTTATACCGCACGAGTTTTTTGACCTGAGTAGTTTATCGCTAATTGTGCTTGACAGTACAGATATCGAATTACAATCGGTAGTCACTAACCTTGGATTTAAAATAAACTCACGTTTAACTTGCGTTGACCACATTAGTTACACTATATCAAAGATATATGATACTTTAAGAAACCTATGGTATACATGTTACTGTCTACCAATTAACGTAAAACTTAAATTTGTAAAGGCTCTTATCGTTCCTCAGATTTCTTACTTTGAGGTGATATATGGTAATGGTAATGGTAAATCTAAAAATAAATTAAATTTAGCTCTAAACAATGTTGCCAGATTTGTATATTTTAAACGAAAGTTTGATCATGTTTCGTTGTATGTAAATAATTGTCTTGGTTTCAGCTTGGAAAACTACCTTAATGTCCGCAATATTTTATTTTTATTTAAAATAATAAGATACCGCCAGCCTGGCTATCTTTTTCAAAAATTGAGCTTTGTTCAGTCATCTCGCACGCATAATATCATTGTTCACAGATATAAAACATTAACAGCCTCTAGATTGTTCTTTGTTAGTGCCGTCAGACTGTGGAATTCTTTATTAGTGTCAATTAAATGTATAAAATCGACTAGATGCTTCAAAACGGCAGTTACAAATCTCTTTGTGTAGTATCCTTTCTTTTCTCTTGTTTCCCTCTTTTCTAGTATTTGTATTACTTTTCTGTTGTTGCTAATTTAAAGCTAAATTCTAGCCATCGTTATTTTAAGTAAATTTTTGTGATTAAATTGTCAAATATGTACATTGAAAAGACTTCATGTCTTACCGTACTATATCTTAAATAAATAAATAAATAAATAAATCTACCACAATGTGGTAGAAGTCCGATCACTGCGTACGACATGGCCAAGCCAGCGGGCCATTGTATTTTAATTCGCCGCACTATGTATACATATCTACAGCGTGGCGACGAATAGCTGTTACCCAGGTTTTTGAGAAATAAAAAGGTCCTTTATAGATTTTGCGAAAAAAGTATTTTATTGTTAATTTTCCACAGATTCAACTTTAGTTGTATTTTTATTTTTTTGTATTTTAATCCTAGGAAAAATTTAAAAATCAACAAAGTCTAAGCGGTAGAAGTTATAGCAGCTATTTCGGAGATCACCACATCTCCTCATCAGACTTCTTTTTTTTAGACTTCAGCAGGGATCGAACCTGAAGCGTTAGCCACTGAGCTATGTACACCCCGTAAACTCTTGTTGCTAATTAATTTTCCGAAAAATATTTTGTTATCGATATTTTTATCGATTTTGTTATTGATATTGTTATCGATTTTGTTATCAATATTTATTGATTTTGTTATAGATATTTTTCGATTTTATTGACGATATTTATTTTATCGGGACTTATCTATAAAATAATCGATATTTTTATTTTGTTTTATTATTTTGTTGTATCAACTGTTGTTTCTATAAAGGAAGTATTGGTTGATATCTTCTTAGTATGTTTATTTTATTCAAATATATGGGCATAACTGATTTTCCATACTAAATCACTTCGTCATCATTTTGCAATATGGTTGCCAGACGTACTAATTTTATCAGTACAGTACTGATTTTTCAACTCTTGTACTGATTTTATTCATTTCTTCAATCAGTACGATAATGTCCTGATTTGTACTGATTTTTCCTCATCGTGTTGGTCCCCTTGCCGTGGGGATGAGGCTTAAGTGGTGGTTTAAATCTTCCTTCGGGGGGTTTTAAACCAGCACGAACCAAGAGGGAAGCTCCGTATGGAGATTGGTCGACCACCCGTCTGCGGAACTGTGGGCGTCGTGTTCCTCCAATCATACATACGGAGAGGACCGTACCGACGATTCCCCCACGCTCGTCCTACCCAACCCTTCTCTCCCATCTTTCCCTTTCCTTTCCCCCCTAATCCAGGGTGTTATGCGTCACCGTGCCTATTGGATGGTTTGCAGCCAGGGGTATCCGGCTGTATTCTAACGGCGCTCTCCTGATACCGGGTCACCTCAGGAGGTAGAATGACCTTGCCACAGCGGAGGGGACCGCTGTGGTCGACGACTCCCTTTTCCCCCCCCTAAATACGTAGTCCGCCACGCTCGCCACGTCGAGCAGTGCGGACGTCTATGAATGATGTACTCAAATAAAAAACCTGCCTCGGATAACCGAGAACCCCCCAAAAAAAGTAGACCCACTCAGTCAGGAAGGTCCGGTCTGTCCTCGGACAAGACCAAGCAAGCCAGCGGTGCAAAGTCTGTGGCCAAGCCAGGGCTGAGCATACGCTCTGTCCCCTCTGGGACTGCCTCAACGGCATCGAGGCCCCCTTCCGGCAACCGGTCTAGCCATGTCCCTAGACAAGCTAGCGAGGATTTTAATCCGTCCGGTGCTGGTAGCAGATAGGTCTTCGGGAGGCAAGGGCAGCCCTGTCACAAGACAAGCTAGCCCTGCTGCCGTCCCCGCCACTCCAGGAGGCAAGGGAACATCGACAGGTGCAATCCCTAAAGCGGCGTCGGCGACATCAGACCGCATGGCTAAGCCAGCGGCCTCTGAGGTGCGCCATTCTGGCACTAATGTAGCGATGGGCAGTAGCCATCCCCAGAAGCACATTAGTGCATCAGAAAGGTACTATCGTACCAGACGGTCAGCCCTCAGAATCCTGGAGAGACTGAGGGATAAGAAGCCAGAAGAACTGACCGCAGAAGAGCTGGACTCAAGAAATTGGGCCGAAAAGTTTATGGCTGAACACCAGGCGAAAGCCAAACAAGAGTCTGCTCAAGGCAAGCGGAAGTCCTCTAGGGAGCTAAGCTCGGAACCCAAGAGAACAAGGGTATCCGCCTTTTTAACAGCGGACGAGCTGCAGAAAAGATCCTTCGCGGACGCGGCGAAGGACACATTTACCAGGGCTGTGATAGACCGCAGCTCACTTGATGGTGCAATATCACCACAAAACTGGGACCTGGTCAACAGGCGACTCTGGGCCGTCTATAAGGAGGTTCTAGGGGAAAACCCAGGACCACCCCCCAGTTGTGCGGACGCCGGTTGGTTCCAAAACCGCGTCAAATTAACAAGGTGCGCGGACCAGAGATCCGTCGACCTATACACCCTGGCCATCAGTCGCGTAGGCGAGGTCTGGCCGGGTGCACGCCTTGAGGCGATAAAGCGGGAAGACATTCCCAATCGGCCCAGATCCAGGGCCTGGATTCCAGACTTCCACACCGACCCACAGGAAGTGCTGGAATGGATACGTATGGGCAACCCCGAGCTACCCACCCACGACTGGAAGGTAGCAAAGATAGGCGATATCGATGGCAAGCGAAGGTTAGCGGTAATAGTCCTCAACGAGGAATCAGTAGAACCGCTAGCCAACCAAAACTGGAGGATAAATTATGGCTTCCAAGCCTTGAACCTCCATGTTTATCGGCAGGACGTGTCAGGGAAACAACACCCTACCGACGAAGCGAGCGCAGTGGAAAGTGCTACTGACGACGAAGTGGCATCCACCTCCGGAATGGTCGGCGAACTCTTCGAGAGGGTGACTCTAGAAGAGGGGGCGGGGGACCACTCCGACTTTTCCGACACCATGGTGGAAGGAGAAGGGGAGGATATCCTCCCCCTTTCTGACGAAGAGGACGTCAACCGGACTGTGGTTGGCTGTCCAGCAGCAGCACGCGAAACTGATGGTGGGGATAGTTCAGATTAATCTCCACCACTGCAAGGCGGCCTCAGCCGCACTTCTCCTCCGTCTCGCCGAAAGAGAAGAGGAGATCGCACTCATCCAGGAGCCTTGGGTCATAAAAGATCGGGTTTGTGGATTGAATATGAAGGGATACAAGCTGTTCTATGTAACTGACAAAGGTAAACCCAGGTCGTGCATATTGATAAAAAAGTGTATTAATGCATTTCTCTTGATACAGTTTAGCGATGCGGACAACGTCATCATAGCAGTGGAATCAGGCGGAATGTGTATTTGGCTGGCTTCCACATATATGGCCCACGACGCAGAAACATTACCTCCACCACAATCCTTAAGGAGCGCGGTAATGGAGGCCTCTAGACGCGGCACTCCGATGGTCATAGGAGCGGACGCGAATGCCCATCATCACATATGGGGCAGCTCAGATACAAATGAACGCGGTGAGTCGATATTCGAATTCATTATGTGCAATAACTTACAGGTTAGCAACGTAGGTGATACCCCTACCTTTGTGACGTCTGTTAGAAGGGAGGTCCTTGACATTACATGTGTCAATGAGCAGGGGGCAGAACTCTTGAATGACTGGAGAGTCTCAAAAGACAACTCCTTTTCGGATCACATGTACGTCGTTTATAACCTATACGTACCAGTAAGAAAACAACAAGCGGTCTTAAACCGCAGAAAAACAAATTGGAAAAAATTTGAAACAATATTTTCTAATAATATTTCCGGCCTCACAAATCAAATAAACTCGGAACATCAACTTGATAACGTCGTAGACGATATAACTAAAGCATTTCATCGTGCAGCAAAATCAGCCTGCCCAATCAGGGCAACAAGTAGGAAACCAAAACCTCCATGGTGGTCCACTGAAATTGCAACCCTCAGAAGGGAATGCAGATCAAAATTTAATGAAGCTAAGAGATCCAACTCTTGGAGTGAATTTAAAGATTGGCAACGCCGATTTAAGTATGCAATAAGAGACGCTAAGCGCTCCTCATGGAGGAACTTCTGTCAGAAGATAGAAAGTACTTCGGAGGCCAGCAGACTGCGCAAAATACTATCTATGAGTCCCAGCAATATTAGCTATCTCATCAAGGAGGATGGTGATTGGACAACTAGCAGCGAAGAAACTCTAGAGCTTCTTGTACAGACGCACTTTCCGGGTTGCCTTCACAGTAGAGTCACAAATACCCGAATCATAGGCAACCATGATGACATTCCAGCGAATATCATAACCGAGGAGAACATAAAGCATGCTATTAGCAGCTTCCAACCGTTTAAATCTCCGGGACCAGACGGCATTATTCCCGCTGACCTACAGCATACAGCAGGACTGATTGCACCCATACTCGTACCAGTCTTTGAAGCAGTGTTACGAATGAATTATATACCCCACAAATGGGAGGAGGTAAGAGTAGTTTTCATTCCCAAAGCAGGGAAAACTACACACACGAGACCAAAAGACTTCAGACCAATTAGTCTGTCGTCTTTCCTGTTGAAATCTCTAGAGAGAATAATAGATGGGCACATTAGAGACAAGGTGGGCAGCAAACTTTCGGCAGCCCAGCATGCCTACAACAAAGGGAGATCAGTCGAAACAGCACTCCATTCTTTAGTGCACACAATTGAAAGATCACTTTATTACAAAGAATACACCCTCGCGGCCTTCCTGGACATCGAGGGTGCTTTCAACAATGTATCTCCTGCAGCGATTATCTCATCTCTGATAAATCTGGGAGTAAGCAATTCACTAACCTCATTTATTGAACGAATGTTAATCGGCCGAGAAATAAGCGCAGGATTAGGTGAATCAGTTATAAAAAGGTTCCCCGTCAGGGGTACACCCCAGGGGGGAGTAATATCACCGCTCCTGTGGAATATAGCAGTAGACAGCCTTCTTCGGGAACTTGAAGACATTGGCGGTCAGATAATTGCATACGCCGACGATATTGTAATAGCTATCTCGGGTAAACATCTTTCAACATTGACAGATCTGATCCAAAGATCCCTCAACAAACTATCCCTGTGGTGTAACAGGCGAGGACTGGGAGTGAATCCCGAAAAAACAGACCTTGTGCTGTTCACCAGGAAGCACAAGATACCTGATCTTGGGAACATAACCCTAGAGGGCAATACCCTCGCAATAAAGGAAGAGACCAAATATCTAGGTCTCATAGTAGATAGGAAACTAAACTGGGGGCCCAACGTTGCAGATAGAGTGCGCAAAGCAACAGTGGCACTATATTCCTGCAGCAGAGCAATAGGGAAAAAATGGGGGATGGAACCCAAAATAATACACTGGCTATACACGGCGGTGGTTAGGCCAATTCTCTATCACGGTATAGTGGTATGGTGGAACGCCCTTGGGAAAGGGGTAAACTTCAAAAAAATGGACAAGGTTCAAAGGCTTGCGTCCACACTCATAACTGGTGCGATGAGAACAACACCATCCAAGGCACTGTATGCCCTACTGAATTTTCTTCCGGTGGACCTACATGCCAAACAAGTCGCAAGTGGCGCGGCAATTCGAATGAATACTCTAAATAAGTGGTCAAATACCAGTTATGGTCACGGTAGAATATTAACGGAAGTTCCGGGGCTACCCGGATTGGTGGACTATGCACTTCCGGAACCTGCACCCGCTACAGCGTTCGCGACCCTCCTACCCTCAAGGGAAGAGTGGAAGCATGACGCTGTAAGTAGTGGAGAGTCCATCCATGTATACACAGATGGCTCAAAGCTCGAGGGTAGGGTTGGAGGAGGTGTATATTCCCATCACCTGGGAATCTCCCTCAGCTTTCGTCTCCCGGACCACTGTAGCGTTTTTCAGGCTGAACTGATGGCAATCGACAGGGCCACGAAACTGGTAAAGTGGGATATGATACCCCAAGTTGATATCTACATCTTCACTGACAGCCAGGC